CTCTCGAAATTTTTTCTCACTTTGATATTTCTTCTTTTCTCCGAGGCCTGAAGTCACCTAAATGGCTAATGAAACTATCAAAATGCCTGCCATTTGTTATAAAATACTAATTCATATTTTGTAATTGCTGTTATATTTTCGAGTTGCCAACACGGCAACTACGAATGTAAAATTTCTATGTTCCAATATACGGACATTGGGTGTGCTTTTCCCGAGGTAAAATATTTTCAAGAGCCCAAGAGTGTAGTGACTTACAGTCTAATCTAAATTAAAAAGGAAAAAAGAATATTCATTTGTACTTGAATTGACCAGTACAAAGCTGACAATTTTCACCAATTGAATCAATTCTTTAGCCCAAGTCTTGTCAGGAGTCGTAATTTCAAGACAGGTAACTACATGTGTCTCGTATTTTCACAGTCATATTTCCGTTTAAACCGGATAAGACCACCCAAGTGCACGCACTGGTGCCAGCGGGGAGTTGACAAAGGCCGAGTCTGTGAATGAACTTCATGAGATATGTTATTGGTAGTGCATAAATAGACAAATTTGTCTTATCGTCTTCTTCATTCTTTAAACTTATTGAGAATTTACTCTGACGCTTTTCTCGATGCTTTACAAGACGTGTCTGCTTAAATGACAATTTACTAAACTTGGTTAAAGACTTGTAGCGGATTGCTACCTTAGTAAAGCCAGACCGACTCAGAAATCTCCATGGCAGATTCTCAAACATCTAGCTACCGGCTCAGAAATTTCTATGGCAGATTCTCCAACATCTAGCTAGGAATCAGAAATCTCTATGGCAGATTCTCCAACCTCTAGCTAGAGAACAGCTAAGCTATAGCTCAGCTATAAAGAAAACAGACGTGTAGCACGGAGCGCGTTTATATCTGTGGCAGATTCTCCTACATCTAGCTAGACTCCCAGAACGGCAGATTCTCCAACGTCTAGCTAGACTCCCAGAACCAGGGAGATTCTCCTACATCTAGCTAGACTCCCAGAACCAGCTAAACCATAGCCCAGCTATAAAGGAAACAGACGAGTAGCACGGAGAATTCTCCAACATCTAGCTAGACTCCCAGAACAAGCTAAGCTATAGTCCAGCTATAAGGGAAACTGACGTGTAGCACGAAATGCGTTTATTCGGTACGTATATTGCATATAAAGGAAACAGATGTTTAGCACGGAGCACGTTTATTCTACAGAGGATACAGACGTGTAGCACGGAACATTTATTCAGTAGGAAAGGCACAGACGTGTAGCACGGAGCACGTTTATTCAGTACGGGTAGGGAAGCAGACGTGTAGCACGGAATACGTTTATTCAGTACGTATATCAGGATCAAGTGTACACGCATGGAGCTACTCATGATCAGGATGGATAAGGTGTACACGCAGGGAGCTACTCATGATCAGGATAATAAAGCGTGTACTCGCAGGGAGCTACTCATGATCAGGATGGGGGATTAGGTTAGGAGGTTACTTTATGATCACTGTTTGTACAGTCGCTGCACACAGAGTTGTAAGGCCGCACCTGTTGGTACGGTCGCTGTACACAGAGTTGTACGGCCACACCTCCCAATCCTGGAGAGCAGACATGCAGACATACGATGACGCACACAGCGATAACTTGTCCCACACTTCTATAATTCTGTTGTAGTAAACTGAAAGTATCTCCCAAGTTATGAAAATTTTGCCTAACAAGTATCTATTGTCTACGCTCAAAATGCATTAAGAGATTGAGGTAGTTCTAACAATGAATTCTGAAACACATGTTATTTTTGGGAGAATACCAACAGAGAAAACCTCTTCAACTCTTGGATATATCAGGCAAATTAAAGCCTCATCAATCCCGTCTCAGATTAGTTTATATATAAGGTCCCAAATTAGATGACAGGAAGGCGGATCTCTTTATTCCGGGGATCGATCTGCAATAAACTAAGGAGCCTCCCAAATATTCAGATTTCTCGAAATGAGTAAAAACACTGGATTAAGCCGTCTTTTCTTATATCTATTCTGACAATTATTTGAAATTGGCAAACAATTAAGTATGACATTAATTAGCATATTAAATTTTACTTAGATTTCCTTTGGATAAGCTATTCCATTTTACCCCAATAAGGTCTCAAGCATATATATTTCGCTTCCCACTAAAACGTTATCTGATCTAATTAATGGATTAGCTAGAAGCATAGTAGTGAAGCCTATAAACGAATTCATTGAGCTGTAAGCATTTTACGTACTTCAGTCCCAGTTAAACCAGACAACCGTTAAGTTGTTGTAGAAATAAAAGGTATTGAATGAAAATAGACATAACAAGGGCTTGTGATCTATTTCCCACTCCAAAAGCGCGTTCCCAGGTGTCAACTATGCCAATCTCCATTCTGATTGGCTAAGAGATTGCGATCGCCCAATAATACTACAGTTCGTTATTGAGCCTATTTCGCGAGCAGTGGTGCAAAGTGCCTGTTAATCTCAGACTTCTTAAAAGAGGCATGTATGACTATCGCCCAGGAATTGCTAGTTCTGACTCGCCGTGTGGGTACGATAAACATAGATTTCGTCATAGACTCAGAAAAAAGGTGAGAATTTCATCAGACATTTGCTTTTTACACCATTTTTAATATCCAAAAATATAATCCTCTCTTTACTCATTTTAATTAAGGCTTTCTCCTTTAACCCCAGAAAATTAACATAATTTTTTTATAATTGATAAGTATCTTGGAAAGTATATGCACAATATATTTGTGCTTCAGCCTTTATTATAAAAAATTGTTGTTTTGTTACCAAGTTTTGTTAGTTACTTGCAAGCAAGTTTTCAAGTTTAGAAAGCATCGGTTAATTTTTGCTAAGAATCGAAATCGTTGTTTAGGCTTAACTCATTTACATTTGTCCTCCGGAATTCCAATTAGTCTGGGGGTGTTTTTTGAGCTATCGTGGAAATTAAACCTCATTATAAATTTCGGGTGATCAGAGAAGTCCATTGAACAAAACGATGTGATTTGAGCCCATGAAAGGTAACATCAGATTTCAAATAATTAGGTTCATAAAAGGTCGTTTTTGCAAAGTTTAATTCTCAGTAAATAGAAATAATGTTTCGGAATGAACCTCAACTAATCAATTGTTCTATAAGAAATCGCATAACCCCAAGCTCGCTTGATATAATTTTTTTAACCACTGATACAAATTTGGATGCATAACACGCGAGACAAGAAACGATGGACATTTAGTCGACTGAAACCAACAGGTAAGATGAAAAGGAGCCAAGCAAGACCAACAGGTAAATAAATGAATTATGTGATATAAAGCATCACGTCATTATGACAAACGTGATTAGTCCAATACAGAACATAAATTTTAATTGGGCTTTGGAAGAATTTAATTACCAATTAATTCGAATTACAGTAGCCATAATATCTAACTTGCCCAGACACTCAAATTCTGGACGTAGACAAGAGGCATGGCCAGGCACCCACTAACTCTTAATAAGGTATTGATGACTACCAATAAGTTTACAATTTGTCACACTTGGGTATAATGTAGTCCAATCAAGATGCGTCCTATGTGAGTTCTCAGAGGGGGGGAGGGCTAAAGGTTAGTGACCATCGTACATCAGCCCAGCTTCGCATAATCTTCCTACAGTATAGTTTTTGACACTAGCTATAAATCCTCATTCAAATTTGAAAATGCCCGCGCCTGTATATTTAGACATTGTTGACAAATGTGAAACCAGGCGATTCTAAAAACGGCTTTCGGCAAAAGTTAACTGCAATAATCGCGGTTCATTTTCTCCATTTAAGTTCTGGGCCATCGTTCTGAGTCTTCTAGTCACATCAATTCTCGTTGGAACCGTTGCTTGGATAATCTGGACCCGGTTGAGTCGCAGCCACTCTTGGAATGACGAAGGGCCACTGAGATCTGAAAATCCTCCAGCAATTTGTTACAAATGTAGTAATTATTTTCATATAATGGATGGTCGGGAAGTATACTCGAACATCGATGTGTTAAAAGGTGAATCTGGTGGAACAGAGAATAGTGGCTACCGCGGAGTTGCAAGAGATGTCGAAGATCCAAGGCAAGAACTCTGCCAAGAAGTTGTGAATCGAACGGCACTAGCAGAGACCCAGGTACCATTGGATGATGATTGCGGTGACAGCTTGTACGATGGGTGTTTTAAAATGGTCACAAGGAGCTTTCGTTTGGTACCGAATGTTGGACGAGAAAGGCTCAGCGTTACGATTGTATCAAGGAATTGTGCAGAGATACCAAAGAATTTGGCCCTTGGATGCTACAAAACATTTGGTGGTTTGGGAATGGAAAGAGAGCTATGCTATTGTGAAGGAACGTATTGTAATTCAGATGTATCCATGAAGGGCTCAATTATAGAAACTATAACTTTGTGCATACTTATTCAATTGTTACATAATTGATTAAACAGCAATATGTAGTTTGAATATATTGACTCTATGACTAACTTAAAGTGACGAGGGCATCTATAAAATTTTATATATATATATGTATATGTATACATAAACTTCTAGCATAACTGCAACCGAATTCAATTAAAATTTCTCGACTGAAGGTCATCGAAAGCACAACCACTTAAAGAAATTCATCTAGCGTTGGAATTCGATAGTTTATTCTCTTGTTACTGAATTGCAAGATTAGTCTGTGATAAGAGTTGAGCAAAAGTCAAAAGGGACTTAAATATTATAAAAGAGCAGCACCGAGGAATCTCTCAAGCCGGAAACTCGACTTCAACCAGCATTTAACTAATTAGGCCTAATCAGAGCGTTCGGTCGTAAGCTCTGAATTCGCTCCACGATCAGAACACCAATACATTATAGAACAAAATCATTCCAAGTCCATATATCAAAAATGCTTTGACTAATATTGAAATTAACACTCGGAAAGCTATTTAAATGAACTACTTTCAACAATAGTCATAAAAAGAACAGTTTGGAAAGATAAAAAAGGCCTTTATTCTATAAAACTAATGATAAGAATTCACAAGTGGATTTACATCTTTCTAAAAGTGATAACTGATAAAGCACCGCAGTCAATCAGGAAGATTGGCTGATGGCAGAGACCAGCTGCTCGAAATAAGGCTTCCAGTCCCGCTGACGCCTATCTTTGGTAGAAAAGAGACGAACAACTGCGAAGTGATCAGCACCATCTCCAAGATTACTACGATTGAAGCCTTCAACACGAGTAGTAAGATTGGCTCCTTCTAAATTTAACCTTTTAATAGAGATTTGTGCCCACTTCATGGCCTTTTCATTACTCTGCAAAACAACAGCAATAAACATTGAAAGAAATGGAAATTTCTAGTGGAATACACATTCATTAGTAGTCCAGATATACCTGTGGATGGTAGAAGACAGCGAGACCCTTCTGGTAGAACACTATTGGCTTCTTAGGCCCCACGTGTAGAATAGATAGAGCGAACTGAAAGGATTAGAAAAAAGATAAGCGTCATAAAATTATCCTACTCTACCTCGAGTTCATTTGCCACATCAAGCATAACTCTTAAATACACTAATTTACACGTTTTAATTTTAATTAATTCTTGACGAAATTCCACTACCGTTCCCCCTTTTAATCATATCAACGTGCCCTCTTAATCTACCAACACTAGCGCTACTATTAGTCTGATTAGGTAACTTATCGAATCATGTCATTTCATATTTAACCTAAATAGTAATAGTTACTGAAAAAAGGGGGTAACTTGAAAGGCACTTCAAAGTATAGAAGCGGTTGAAATCTTTCAGAAATAAACAGCGCAGCCTTGGGTCGAATGGATAAATGGAAATGTGATTTCAAGGCTAATGGATGAAGTTACTGCACTATAGCTAATGGTAGCTCAGTTATAAAAAATGAAAAAGGAGTAACTCAAACAACAATTTCTCTGACAGGTAATTAATACTTTGGAACTCCATAAGCGCGATTTGGATATACAGAATTGGTGGGCTATCTCCTAGGCAGCAATAAAACAAAGAAAAAACGAACGATCAGGCATAGTAATCGAAAGATCTGCTTTCCGAGAAGCGAACTTTGCATACAAAATTATATAAAAAATACATATTAAATGCATCTTTTACCCTTCAAGAAAGCTAAATCAATTTAGTGGGAGAATAAGATAGCAAATACTTATTAGTAGAAGTGCTACACCACTAGACTGTGGTAAATGGAAGCTTGCTGAAGGCGCTCTTGTGAGAAACTCACATTTGCCGGCTCTCCTATTGACCACAGCTAACTGGGGTGATATGTTATCTCGTAATCCCTGGCTTTATAGACATTCATGGTGACCACTATGCCACCGATGCACAAAACATTGAGGCTGATCTATTACAGCAGAGAGATTAAATATGACGAGATAACTCACCTTAGTAAAGTTACTTATGTTGAAGGGTCTCGCGATTGGAGACAAATCATCCCCCCTTGAATCACTTTCTGCAATCAATTGGACAAGTTGTCCCACCATAATTGGATCCACATTATCTGGCACACCAGAAGCCTTCCTTGCAACAACTCGAACAGTTCCAAGTAGACCGGAGAGCCTCTCTTGATAACGTGTGATAACACCACGATCAAGATGGGAAAGACATACATCAGGTCTCCCACCAAGAATTGTATCAACCACAGATTGGAGAGTGAAGAGGCGTTCAGCACAGGTAATAAGGTCGGAGAAGGAATCGGCGCTCTTCGTAATTGTCTCTTGAATAGAGTCAAATTCAGTGGAGACACAGAGGATTTGTTGTGATCCATAGTGTCGGGCACGAACCGCACTTTCTCCTGAGATGGCTATGAACTAAAAGGATAAAACAGGTCCCTGGAAGCAAAAGAATAGATATTTGCATAAGGGATTCCTAGCTAGATTAATCAGATATGTCAGATGAGTGAAAGTGGATTCATAGAGTCTGGAGGAAATGAAAGGTGGGATACCGACTTGCTCAGATATAAAGTAGGAAGGGAAAGAGAGAATAATCTACTCACGTATTTTCAGACAATTTCATCTTCTATTATGTGGTGCTTTATAAACTAGCAATATAACATAATCAAACCAGTTTACCCTTCATTTAGATCATCCATGATTGAGAGCTGCCAATGGTCAAGTAATATTATTCAGGCCACATTGAAAAATAAATTCATTGCTTTTATAAATTGCTTCAAGCACATGGGAACCATTTCCTTACTTTGATAGCTCTCAAAACTAAAATTGTCATCTAAGCCTTACCACTTAGCATTATTTACGATACGGACAATCAATGAGGTTGATAACGGTATTTCAGTTCGAATCCATTTTCAATAAAGTGCCTGAATTAAAGCACACAAACTAAATTGATTGGTATATCATAAACGGTCGAACAATTCATAAATGTTGTTAATATTCACATACTCTAACTTATGGGCCGGATGAATTAATCAAATAATTGTTTAGGCACTCCGAGAAACTTTACTGTGTGCACATAGTTCCGGATTGCCTTGGCAGCATAAAACGTTCGATGATGAACGACTCAACTTAATGTTAGTGCAACAACGCCAGTCAAGACTCAAGAAAATAAATAGAGCGTCCCAAAACGACTTTAACAATGAAAGAGAAATTAAATTAAATGACGTAGAAAACCCTAAGAAAATTCTGCCATCATTCATCCTAATAGGAGCACGACTGTTAAAACTCAATATTTAGCCTAAGCATTCATGACGATGGTAATCTCTACTTACTCGTCTAGATTGACGAAGTACTATTTTAGGTTTTCGTAGTCGGTAGTTAATTGATAATTGAGTGGATCTAAACCGTTTCATTTTATCAATGAACGTTCCAGTTTGGGAGAAAAACTCAAGTTTATCTGCGACAAAGTTGGCACAGACAAATGTATTAGATGAATTGCGTGATTTACCTCCTTAACTGACTGCTTCCTTGATCGAAGTCCAACGATAACAATGTCCACTAGGTCTTCAGTCTGTTGAACATGAGTGCCTCCACATAACTCGGCAGAATAGAAGCCAGTTGAATCAGTGATCTTTTCACTAATCGTCTCTACATCACCACCAATACAGACCGTACGAACCTTCTCTGGATATGTCTCCCAAGGAAATCGTTGAACGAATGTTTTCTAGAAGGGATGAACGCATTATCTCAAGGATAAAACGAACCTCTGTAACTTTGGATAAATTGAGTTCCTCGGAAATAATGGGTAATTTTGCTGCGATAGCAGCTCGGCATCTCGATTCCACATTTTCCACCAAACTTTCCAATTTGTCTGGGCTTTGAAGAATAGTTAGACAAAGAGTGAATTTTTCGGGATCAACACGACTTCCATGATGAACTGTAAACGAAGACGATTGGTTAGTTGGATCTAAGGCGTTGGAAGCCAACTCTTTAGCGAAAGCCCAATTCAAGAGATGTTGAGCTGTGTGATTTCGCATTAAATTCGTGCGGCGTTCCTGAACGAATACGGTTGAGAAAATGTAAATATTTTTACTGAATCTGGGCAAAGAATTAGAGAGCTGAGTGGCTTGACATCAATGAATGAACCGGAAGGAGAAACCCAGTGAATAATCCAACCGTCATTCGATGCTGTATTATTGCTTTTCACTAGTTTCTCAACTGATTGGACATTAAAAAGGACCTCCTAAACAGATAGTCACGGCCTTAAAAGCATTAACTCGAGAATACCTACTTGATTCTCCGCCGATCGAATAACTCCAACATCACTGGCTTGACCTCCGCATGGATTGTAAAAGTTGGTTCTATCGAATATCAAACCCACCTGACTTTTATTTTCACCATTTTGTGGAGAAAAGATGGGTCGAAGTTGGCCAAAATCCTCAACAGCGTGGAGATTACTATCCTTTCCCTCGACCGCTGCGAGGAGATTCGCTTTCAAAGGTGGCACCTCTACAAAATCGAAGAAGCATTGACCACATATTTTATTCGCACACGGTCAAAGCACTAGCAAGAGCCAAGTCAACTAAAGCTACTAACCCAAAACAAAAAAAACACGGAAAGGAGGGATTCCAAACAGATTTATATTAAGACAAAAAGGGAAAGCCAATTTAGATAAAAAATCTAGTTCGGTAAAATAAGAGGCGCAGTTTGATTGGGTAAATAGTTAATCTACACACAAAATGAAGAGAGGGATCAACTATTTTCCTGAATTTGACTGACCGTAGGAATGTTGATCCTCCTGTTTCACACGTTTAACATCATATTTATGGCTGTCCTGAGTTACGGGTGACTGAAATAAGAAATCTCGAAGACCAGAGAGAGAGAAGAACGACTTCTTTTCGACGGGTGTGGGTGGAAGTGAGGGGTCTATTGGTGATTGGAGTCCATACCATCGAGCTTGGGCACAGATCATATCCCAACTGAGTGGCTCACCGTACTGGCCAGACTGAAGGCCTTTAAGCTGTTCAGCTGATAAAAATAAAAAAACATAAATTTACCGAAATGTCGATGCCTAAATTGATTCTTGCAGATATAAAATTACACATCTTACTATAAAGAATACTAAATAACCACATAGTCCCTTGGAGAGCTTACAGTTAACCTCTTTGTTCTTCCACAAAGAAAAGTTGGAGGAAAAGAACGTAAAAGAAAAAATAGTGATCACCAGAGTAACATTTGCAAGGATTCCAGTCGTGGTAAAACCTCAACTCAAATTGCGCTCTCAAAAACATCCAACGCTGAAAATATGCATTTATATCATTATAGTCTCTTCTTACCCACCTTGAAAATTCGTAAAATATAAAAAGGTTCTTTTTTGCATCCCTGGGGGCAATAAATAATAACAGTTTCTTAAAATTCTGTGATAGAAAAGCGAATGGAAGTAATTTTGGAAGAATGACTAATTGAAAGGTAAATAATAAATCATTTCTAATAAAACACCAAAAGCTTGTCGAACGTAACAAATTAACAATAAAAGACCATCATCAACTACACCATGCTTCCAAGTACAACAAAAGAAAACTTGCTTGCCTGATAAGATTCCTTTATCGTCGACCTCTTTCATACAAGCGAGGAAAGCGTTCTCCATCTTATCGAATCGAGGAATGAAATGATCTACCTCTTGCTGAATAATTTCACTAATCTGAAAACACAAAAAGTAAACTACATCAAAGCTGGAAAGAATCGAACACGAATATTATGGACAGAGAAGGGCATTAAAATGATTTTGATTGAGAAACTCGAGTTTCGATCTCAGAACCAACCAAATTGGTTGGTCATTTCTCTTGATTTCGCTTTAGTGATCCTCAATATCTATAAACTGACTGATATTATAATGTCAAAGACATTAATTTTAATATTAACAACAAAAATAAACATACTTGCTCAATGGAATGAACTGGTGTTGATGGTCGTGCCATAGGTCCCTTCAATTCTGCCTTGAAAGGAGCTGCAGGCGGTATCTGCAGAACAATGCGTTTGAGAAGTTCAGGTCGAGTTGCAGAATCTAACCCAGTGAGAATGGCCACGCGTGTTGCCCGATGAATGAGATGTCTCAATTTCAGACTTACACCTTGACGACCGGGCACCAAACCATCTCGCATTGCTGTAGCTAGAGCTCGACTATGATCAGCCACAATGCGATAGGCGATATCGCGTCTTAGCTTATCATAGTTAATGATTCTTTCCGGTTTGGGCTAAAGGTCGAAAGTTAGGGTTATAAGTTACTGATAAGATTCCAGTAGTAATACTTGAACAAGCTGGACTTACTTTTGGAAAAAGAGGAGGAGGGCCAAGTATTATTTGCTCCCAGAGGGTTCGTTTACGAGGTGGAGGGTGTGGCTCGGTCCTTCTCGGTTTAGCGAACTCCTCTTCCAACTCGTCTTCAAATACAAAATCACTGGTATAGGATGGTACCGCAGAGCCAGTAATTCGTAAGGCCTCTGAGTGGATGTTACTAATGAGACGAGAGAATATATCCGTTTCGTAGGTAGTCATTGTGCCCTATGGAAAGAAAAAAAGAAAATAGGTTTAGCTGAGCAAAACAAGTGATATTAGAAATGTTACAAGATGAGACAAATTCATCCCTAATTAGCACAAGAAGTCTAGAGTATCATAGGGCATGATGTGTGTATGGAATCCTCAATGTTTTTACAAAAGAAATGTTGCGTTTAGTTTGTAAGCTCCAACATATTTCCATTTGAGATATCCATGTCTGAGACGCGATTGAAGTCTTCGACTTACTTTCCAATGTAATTACCGATAAAAAGGAAAATATCCAATATGGAATATCAGCGGAGAAGAAAGAATGATTTTTAAAGACGTTTAATCAACTATTACCAGTTATAACAAAGCTCTTTTACATACAAGGTTATCCCACTAGGTCATAAAAGAATCAATAAGATGGAATTGTGCTAGATTATTCGAAAGCTATTTTCTAGCCCAAAGCCGATGTTTATAGAACATAGCGAAATCATTTTGACAACCTCAATTATTTTCTAAATGGCCCGTTTGTGGGTGTTTCAAGCAGAATTCATCACAAAATACCCACAATCCTCAGAAATTAATATACGAGATTCAGCATAAAATCTGTTACCTGCTCAAGATTCAGCAAATAAATGACAATGAAATCTAGCATTTTTAAAACCAAATTTTAATTATTTAATAACAATTCCAATTTGAATGCCGTTCGAGTTGCTCTCTAAACAGTGCAGTCACGGTCTAGCCGTAGCTTCGGGATGCCCCGGAGAGAGGATGTCATGTGTACAGATGCAACTTCACAACACTTTGAATACGAATTAATCAGGAACAGATTGGGCATTTCTCGAATAAACTGAGACCATTGTGAGACTACGGAAAGTCTTTGAGAGCTTATAAGATGGTAGTGGTAAGGACGTGCAGACATGCCTATATTTGGAGAAGCCGTTATGACAGCGTTCCATTAAAGAAAGAGAAGCAAGTTTAACTAGACTGATCTACCAAGGTCGTGTGTATTTTTCAAAAATCAGTGACAATCGATTTGGAAGGCAAATGGGAAATAGTTTAGCTCGAATGTGACTAAACTGACCAAGACATTTTAGAGCCCTGATGATGTTAGGTGATTCAAGAGCAAATGCGAAAAAACTTCTCTTCCCCTTGACACGATAAATTAATAAAAAACAAGAGAAATTTTGGCGATTAATTTAACGGCTGCCTTTACTTGACATGCGAACATAAAATCAAAATGGTAATGCAAGAGGTTTGACTTGGATTTAAAAATAAATCTCAAACTCCATTGACCCTAAATTTATCCCCACTTCCAAAATGAAAGTATTAAAGCTATTTATGCACGAGCTGCTTGAAAACAATTAAAATAAAAAAGATGACAAACCTGCATAACAGAAGCAAGTCTTTCCAAACCCAGACCTGTGTCAACCGACATGGCAGGAAGTTCTTGGAGCACCGTCTGGCCATTTGGACCCTTAACCATTCGATGAGTGATGAAAACGCAATTCCAGAGTTCAACCACTCGAGGATTGTTGTCATTCACCATGCAACGCGCACACGTCATGTCCCGCTTTCCGTTGAGAGCGGAGTAGTCGACATGAATTTCTGTGCAAGGACCACACAAACCACCGCTTGCCTCATCAGCTTGCCAGAAGTTTGACTCACCAATAATGGCCATTAGTTTTCGCTCACTTACTCTAAAACAGACAAGATTGAAGCAATCTAAAGGCAAAAAAAGACAGAACATATAAAACCGCCAATATCGCTTCTATAAACATTACAAACACTTCGAGTGGAAAAACAGGAGACAACTGTTTAGAACCAGCTCAAAGGCCAAGGGCCTACATTCATATACTCCAAAATTTCAAAGGATGTGTTTAGGATTTAATTACGAAATCTAAAAGGTTAAGGATCGGAAACAAATACTTGGTCGTTACTCTTAAGGAATCTATTTTCCTAGTAATTAGGAGAGTTTAATTAATAGAAAATAAACCTATTAAGACGAACAAAAGCAAGAGCAGGAACATTTAACTTAACTTAATAAATGTCATAAATTTGGGACAAAAGTAAAACAATTGTAGAGAAAGAGGACAAACGGAAAGTTACGACTATATTGAACCACTTGATCACCCTTCAATTATAAAATTAGTACGAACCCAAAACAGATGAGATAAACGAATGTAAAAAACTCTATCAGCTGATGAGAGATAAAAAACAAAACAGTGGTCCTACAATGGATTCCTCGTCACTCTGGCATTAAAGGCAATGAGCTTGCGGACACACTTGCTAAGAAGGGGACAACGATTTTGCAATGCATGGACAGCCCGATGTCTTTCCACACAATGAAGGCCTTAATCAGAAGATAATTCAAGACCTCAAGATACAACGAACTTAAAGCTCGAAAAAGGGAGAAACAGTGGACAGTGGCACTCTCCGACATACCCGACTGGCCAAGAATCGAAGCCGTTGCTGAGTTTAGACTGCGTACCGGACCCGATTGCCTGGGAAAACACCTTCACAGATTGGGAGTATACACTCAACCCACATGCCCCCTATGTAACCTACAGGAGGAAATGGAGAAGACCCACCTGATTCGATGTCCAGCCCTAAAGACAATGACGGAAAGCCAGAGATACTGGGAAGCAAGAAGACAGCTAATTAACTGCTATATATATACCCCCC